AGGATCTAAAAGCCAAGGTTCTAATGATGGCAGGGAAGTTCTCATCACTTAAAAGAAAACATATACTCTAAAGATTCAGATCAGGAAATCTAAATCACAAAGTGAAAGTCAGCTTAGGAGATATGCAGTAAATAAGTCAGACCTATACCCAGTAAAATGAAGAATTGTGATGTCTAATATAAGGCAGATATGGTCAAACCTGTTGATTCCACCCGTTTGTACCCTTGGTGATTTAGACACTAGTCAGTCATTTACTGATTTACTACCCTTTCATAATAAGGGGAATGAATTCTGTAGTTTAGGGAAAAGACCAAATTGTGATCAATGTTAGCAGCATCAGATCTTGTGTTTCCGTAAGCTGGAATAATCTCTAAATCAGGAATACTTAGTATTCTGTATTGTTTTTCCTGTAAAAGGCCAGATAGTGATTTACATTAGGCTTCACAGGCTAGATGGTCTGTTTTGCAACTATTCAACTCTGATATTGTAGTGCAAAATCAGCCATAGACAATATTTAGGTGAAGGAGCCTGGCTGTGTTCCAATAAAAATAGGCAGTGGGCTGGGTATGTCTCAGGGACTACAGTTTACCAAAACTTGATCTAGATGATATAAGTTGCAAATGGGTATGAAGCAATATTTCCAGAGTTTGTTAGCAATTTGCAAATAGGAATTGAACACTTTCACTAGAAGCTATTGTGAAGACAAAAAATGTCTATCTATAGAAGTAGCTGATGGCCGGGCATGGTGGCTCATGCCTATAATCCCAGCACTTTGGGAGGCTGAGCAGGTGGATCCCTGAGGTCAGCAGTTTGAGACCAGCCTGGCCAACACGGTGAAACCTTGTCTCTATTAAAAATACAAAAATTAGATCAGCCATTGCGCACCAGCGTCCCTTCTCTTCCTCGGCGCTGCCTACAGACATAGCAGCGATCTCTTGGTCGGCATCATGGCCGCCCTTAGACCCCTTGTGAAACCCAAGATCATCAAAAAGAGAACCAAGAAGTTCATCTGGCACCAGTCAGACCGATATGTCAAAATTAAGCATAACTGGTGGAAACCCAGAGGAACTGACAACAGGGTTCGTAGAAGGTTCAAGGGCCAGATCTTAATGCCTAACATTGGTTATGGGAGCAATAAGAAAACAAAGCACATGCTGCCCAGTGGCTTCCGGAAGCTCCTGGTCCACAACGTCAAGGAGCTGGAAGTGCTGCTGATGTGCCACAAATCTTACTGTGCTGAGATCGCTCACAATGTTTCCTCCAAGAACCGCAAAGTCATCGTGGAAAGAGCTGCCCAGCTGGCCATCAGAGTCACCAACCCCAATGCCAGGCTGTGCAGCGAAGAAAATGAGTAGACAGCTTATGTGCACGTTTTGTGTTTAAATAAAACTGGCATCTTCCTTAATTTAAAAAAAAAATACAAAAATTAGCTGGGTATGGTGCCTCATGCCTGTAGTCCCAGTCACTCAGGAGGCTGAGGCAGGATGATCGCTTGAACCTGGGAGGCAAAGGTTTTAGTGAGCCAAGATCATGCCACTGCACTCCAGCCTGGGCGACAGGAGTGAAACCCCGTCTCAGAAAACAAAACAAACAAAACAAAAAAGTAGCTGAGGTTTGTGGTCAGTATTTTTTAGGGCAAGATTCAAATTAAAAGTCTGTCTTGATGTAATAAAGAAGCAGTAAACTAATAGACAAATGCCGTTTAGTGAAAACAAACTGGACCAATAAGTAGTCCAGAGAGGACTCTCGGATAAGAATTGTCAAATATTGGAAGAAGGCTGTGGAATCTAATTTTTGGAGAAATTTAAATTAAAGAGCATTTAGCCTTACTTAAGTTGGCTGAAGCCCTTTCTCCAGGCTGTGACTGAATTAATACCTTCACATAATGTCTTCCAGCCCACTGATTAGAGTACTTTTCCAAACTGGCTTATTGTGTATGAATGTTCATTGCAGCATTATTCATAATAGCTACAGTGGAAACAACTTAAATGTCCATCAACTAATGAAAAGGCAAATAAAATGTGGTCAGTTTATAAAACAGAATGCTATTTACCCGTAGAAATACATGCTGATATTTATATACATACTACATCATAGATGAGCCTTGATAATATTGGGCTAAGTGAGCAAAGCCAGATGCAAGGGACCACATATTGTATGACTTCATTTACTATATGAAATGTCAAGAACAGGCAAATTCAAAGAGACGGATAGTAGATTGTTTCTTGGGGATGGGGAAGGGGCAGAAATGAGGTCTGATGGCTATTGGGCATGGGCATTTTGAGGGAGGTGAAAATGTTCTAGCATCAGACAGTGGTTGTGGTTGCACAGGCCTGTGAATATGCTAAAAAAAACCCACTGAATTGTGTATTTTTAAAAGGTGAATATATCTCCATAAAGCTGTTATGAATATAAGTTTAGGTTACTTGTGTAATATCTTCGTCACTTGAAATATTTGCCCCTTATGGTCTCTATGTATCTTGACGAATTTGAGGTATATTTGGCTATCATCACGTTCAGATGCTTACGCTTTAACTATGGAACTTCTGAGTCCTTCCTTTTTATGCTGTTTCAGTGAATGCCCCAGCCCTGCACACTTTGGAAACTAAATCAAGTCTGCCGGTGGCACATGGTAAGTTTCAGTAATAGTCTCAGTGTTTTATGTGCAGTTGCCACCCTGAGTTAGACAACTTATTAACCAAAACTGCTTCTATGGAGGTAATTATGTAAAACAGGAAACATTTTAGTGATTGCAAAACAGTTATTAAAACTGCAGTCTTCGTAATACTGTTGTAAACTGGACATACCTACCGAAGTCTTAAAATATAAAAGGTACATATAGGTATAAAAGGCGGCCAGACTCACAAGTAGAGCTTTCAACTTGGAGTCGTGTCTTGATTATTTATGATTTTGTGGAAAGGAGTAGGTGTCAGGTAAGAATGAGGGTGACCTGCTACCAGACCAGCCAACCAGCACATGCCACAGGGCACATGTGGTTGTTTTTATAACTTTCAATGTGGCAGCAAGTCACCTTTTCTAAACAAACAGTTTGAATGACTGGTTGGGAAAATCTAGAAAAGACATGTGATGGAAACCAAAGGAAATAGGTAGGAACCACTGGGTGAAATCCAGTGCTGGGGTTCAGTTCTTGGACCAGATCAAAAGAGATAGTTGTTATTAACATGATCTGATAGACGGGCTGAATATTCATAGCCGTAGTTCACTTTTTATACAGTGAAAGTGCTAACAGTTTTTATAGTACATTCTTTAATAGGATGTTTTCCTGTGGTCTGTTGGATATTACAAACAAATTAAGACGAGAGAAGGACCATCTTTTTCCTGTCTCACGTACAGTTGCTCTGGAATCCAATGATTATTTCACTCTTCTTTCATTTTTGGTCTTTTAAAAAGGTCACACTTAAATCCATGATCTAACTGGTCCGTTTAGTGGCACTTCTTGTCTTCAGAAATATTGCAGTCTGTATATCATGAACTTTAGTAACAATCTTAATCCTTTTTACTTATAACTGACTCATGAAATGTCTATCGCACCTTAATTTTTTTCCAAAGATCATTTCAGGAAGATCAGTTGTCTTGAGTATGTGATCACAATATGTAATGTCTAAATTCTCCATATATTGATCATCTTATTTACAAGTGTTTAGAGTATGCAGTTTTTTTCCTTTAGGCCAGTAATAGATAAACGCACATTGGACATAAATTTGCTGTAATAGTGAGCATATAAGAAAAGTATCTCTAGCAGTCATTCTGTATTCATATTATTTTATGTCAGGTCTAAACTCTCTCTGCTGCCTCCTTTTATTTGGTCGATTCGTGTAAAGCATTGCTGGCCACTTCTCTTTTGCACTTCAACAGTGTATTTTAGTTTCTTTGACTTCCCTGCCCCTCCACTTCACTATTATTAGTTTTCTGTGTGACATTACACATGGTCCCCAGTCTCTTTGTCATATATTTTTGTTGCTAACTAAAGGATACCCCAGTAGGTACATTAAGCTGTTAGGGGTTAATTCAAGGATCCTGAAAAATTGATCATTTCTAAAGCACAGGTTCGTGGGGATCCTACCCTGACTGGTCCAGAGCTACATGATTCAGTCATGCCCCCTTCCTGGCATCTGCTGGGATTGAAATGCCAGCCAGACTTGGCACAGGGCCTACAGTCCTTGGATGGGGATCAAAGCTGATCTGTGAGCATCTCAGTGGGCAGGAGCTAAGAAGAGACTTGGCCAGGGCTCATTGATGTCCCCTACCCCGTCAGGCCAGCTTCCCCCACCCCGTCAGGCCAGCAAGGGCAGGGCAGGGCAGGTTAGTCATGGATTACGTAACGTTTATTTGCCCGTTCACTCTCTGTCCTTTGTTCCATCTCAAAGCTTGATGAGGTTCTTTACCATGAAAAATCTCGAGATTCCTTACCATCGTAGGTCGGTTCCCCTGGGAAACAGACTCATGCGGAAGTTTACGGGTGGGAGGTGGGGGTGCCCTCAGACAGCACCTGTGAGAAAAGCAGCGTTGGGCAAAGGGGACCTTGAACCCAGACGCAGCTGCAGTGGAGGCCTCAGCTAGTCCTGCTTCAAAGCTGCGGAGCTGGGATGAGTACTCCAGCTTGTCCTCTGCTGAGGCAGGGGAGGGCCATTGCCCCCTGCATTGATTTGTCATCTGATGAAGGCTGCCCCGAGGAGAGGGTGAGCTAAAGCAGCCTGGAAGGGACTCCACTGTGAGCTGCTAGGAGCCAGCATTGCCAGCGCGTCTGTCCTGAGAAGATCTAGGTAAAATGGGAACCCTAATGACTCCCCTGCTTTCACTTCTGCTGCATAAGCTGAACAGCACAGGCAGTAAGTTCTGATTCTAAGGCAGTTGATAGGATGAAACACAGGCTCTGGGGAAGATAAATGATCATGCTTGATTCCCATCCCCCAGTATGTGTCTTTTCTGGACAAATCTCAAATTTTTAGCAGTATTTCCACCACCGGAGACCACTTTGTTCTTTGCTCATGGAGTTGTGACTAAATGGTGGTATTCGGATGCCCAGAAAATAAAGTATTCTTTGTCGTTGCTGTTAAACTGACCCGTCCAGCAATTGCTTAGGTTGCCTGGATAATGTGGCTCACTTTTAGAGCAACCAGTGCAGAGGGAAACACATCAGAACCTGGCAGTTTATCCTGAACCCTAGAGAAATAAGTCATAGGAATATCCCTGTAATAAAATAATAAATATGTGTGAGATGATTTCATGAAATGAAAACTTTTTATTAAAAGTTTCCACGTGACCTTATTTAGATCACAAAGTACAATAAAATGCAAACGGTATGACTTCCTAAAATCTGAAAATAGTTATCTTCTTTAAATCTCTATTTTTAGCAGTTCAAACTAGTAATACAGCCAATTTGTATGATTTTTTAAAATCTTGATGCTATATAACAAGTTTGAAAAGCACATTTTTGGTGGTCAGCAGCTGTGGGACCTGGTGGACTTAAATGTTTCTTCCATGGCTAAGTCCACACTTCAGCATTAAGGTGGTCTCACTCAGTCATAGGCGGTATTCTAGAAGTTCACTCAAAAGTAGTTCAAGATGCATTTCCCCCATAGAGCCAATGTTACCTACGTTGACTAGGTTGCTGGCTAAGCTATAAGAACCTATTTATATGTACCAAAATCAATCAATCTATCTATCTTTCTATCTATCATCTATCTATCTATCTATCATCATCTCTCTCTCTCTGTCATTTATCTATCTATCTGAAATAGAGTACAGAAATACCCTTTAACAAATAAAAAAAAGACCCTTTAAAGTAGGAAGCATTAAAACTGAGATACGCCTCTGTATCCCTGCCCTGCCACCTGGTGAGCACTTGGTAACTGTTGGCCGTTTTTACCCTGGCCCGTCACCCACTCCCAGGTCTGGTGGTAGAATGCAGTGACCTCCCCCTTGGAGGTGAAAGTGGAGAGCTGGTGGGGGGAAGTGCACTGTGTCAGTCTCCAAGCTGAAGGTGAGTGAACCATGCACCAACTTTGCTGGTTGCCTTGTATCCTGTGTCTAATGCCTGACCACCATCATTAAACCGTCACCCAAAACCTGACCTTCCTGTTGAAGGACATTTCCTTCAGTTGATAGGATAGGGTTTGGTTGTAATGTCTGCTGCTGGCAGGTTTCCTTGTGCATGCGCATAACATTTCTCTGAGAAAAGTCACCCAAAGACCTCATCTACCCTGAGTATGGTTGCTGTTCTGGGGTGAGACTGGGAAGATCCCTTATTCATTTGCCCAGCTTTGGGGTCAGGGCATTCTCCAGCCCTGGAACTAGGTCTTAAACTGCATCCAGGCAGGTGTCTAAGAATGGCTCTCCATCTAGCTGCTGACCTCTCCCCTGTCGTTCCCTTTTTAGTTTCTTGGTCTTAACCACTTGAAAACCATGGGGTCAGCACTGGGAAAAAATGGGAATCCCAGGGCCTTGGGAGTTTTATGGTTTTTTATAGGTGAAATATTTTCATGAATTTTGTTTAGCCACTTGATCAAAATACTTTATAAGTAATAAAGATCTTTTGCAGTTGTGCCCTTGTGTCTTAAAAGGGTATTGTGCACTAGGTTGATGAATAAGAAACTTTATTTAAAAATGTAATTTCTGTAGAGTGTGGTTAATGGAAAGTACACAGAAATAGAATATTCCATGAAAAGGTGACCATCTTTAACTGCCTCAACATTTTTTCCTCAGTAAATTCTTGCTATTTAGGCGTGACTAAAGTACCATGGAGTATATCTTTAGAAATCATTTGAAAGGAAACTAATGTTACCTTGCTGTTGCCCTGTTTGTACCATTCTTATTTTTCCTTGTTAACAGAACAGGCATTCTCATCGCACATACTGGAACCAATAGAAGAACTTTCAGAGGAAGAAAAAGGTAACAAAGGGCTTGCTCAGCTTTACCTGCATGGGTTTTGTTTATATGCTGGAATCCAGGCCTGGAAAATATGAGCCAGTGGTTTTTATCCCACTACTTCAAAATTAGGAAAGACATTTAGATTTGGATTTTACTTTCAACCCTCATGGAGTATCCTGTTATTCTATTCTCTTAATATTCTGCTCTGTTTTCCCCTGCTGCATGGTATTCTTATATAAGCAGATGAAATAAGAAATTTCCTGTCAGAGAGCTTGAAAAAAATTATTTCGGTGCAGATTGTTCTGATTAGATGACATATTGACACACACTTGTGTTGTGCACCAGAGGATCTGAAAATATTTGTATCATAATGGTGATTGATCATACTCTTAATCTGAAATGAATGGGTGAAGTGCTTATTTCCAAATTATTTTTAATAGCAAGAAAAAGCATGCCTAAGTCCTGGGTGTGGAATATTTATGTGCAAAACAATATCTTCATGGTGGAATTTGGGAGCTGTTACAGGTGTTGGGAGATAATTATTACTGCTTACTCATTTTGTTTGATCGTTCTAAAAATTATTTTCGATGAGTTTTTTGAGTTTATGAAGAAAGGTTTAATTATGAGGAACATTTTCTAATGCTAGATTTGTAGACTTTGAAAACAATTATGTTTGAATCGGTTTATCATAATTTTTTCTTATTATAAGAATTCACCATATATCACTTCTTTAGGAGACAGCAAATTGTCAGTACTTATTTTGGTTCTGGTTTTGTCATGTTTGTCAGGAAGATAAGTCAAATGACCTATATTCTAATATGTAAATTCAATTTTTTTTTGAGACGGAGTTTCGCTCTTGTTACCCAGGCTGGAGTGCAATGGCGCGATCTCGGCTCACCGCAACCTCCGCCTCCTGGGTTCAGGCAATTCTCCTGCCTCAGCCTCCCAAGTAGCTGGGATTACAGGCAGGCGCCACCATGCCCAGCTAAGTTTTTGTATTTTTGGTAGAGACGGGGTTTCACCATGTTGACCAGGACGGTCTTGATCTCTTGACCTCGTGATCCACCCGCCTCGGCCTCCCAAAGTGCTGGGATTACAGGCTTGAGCCACCGCGCCCGGCCGTAAATTCAATATTTATTATACCTCTTCCCTTGTTCTCTAGACATTTGCCAATTTTTTTATTTTTGTAAGGCTAAAAATTGAGAATGGACTAAATCAGGCATATTCACAATACCTAGATGATGTACACTTTCAATCTGATCTTGCTATGCTAATGGTCAGTAACTTTTTAATATTTGTATGGGGTTTATTTTGCTTCCATGTATCTTTGTAATTTGTGTTGACTTTCTATATTTTAGACAGACTATTTAGTTCAGGATTGCGTATCTTCCTGTCCAAATGTTTGGCACTGATTTTGTTCATGTTTGGCACTGATTTTGAAGAGTTTGGTTTTAGCTGCTTCATTTCCATCTTATTTCTTTGTAATTGCTGTTCCAATGTTTAGTAACCTGCTTCTTTCAGAAACAAGAGTGATTGTAGGTACATTAAATTCATAAAGCTATAGAAACTTATTGAGGAAAATTTTATGGGTATTCTGATGAGCATAATCTTAAAATATATTGTCACCCTCTTATGAGGTCCTCAGCCTTGTTCCATTGTTAAACAAATAAATTGCTGGGTGGCTCATTCCCAGATATTTCCAACACCTTAAAGATGGCCACAGCCCAGGCATCAAACAAGATCCTGCAGGCTAAATCGATTCCGTAGATGCTGACTTGTTCCCGCTGCACTGTGGGCAACTATTTTACAATTGGTTGCCAATATTTAATTGTAGTGCAATCTACACAATTTAATTATCTATCACTAGGTGATAAAGTCCCTTCCAACTGAGAAATTCTGATTTTTTTTTTTTGGTTTTTGTTTTTTTATTTTTTGAGACAGAGCCTCACTCTGTCACCCAGGCTGAAGTGCAGTGGCACGATCTTGGTTCACTGCAACTTCCGCCTTGCGGGTTCAGGCAAGTCTCCTGCCTCAGCCTCCTGAATAGCTGGTACTACAGGTATGCGCCACCATGCCCAGCTCATTTTTGTATTTTTAGTAGAGTCAGGGTTTCACCATGTTGGCCAGCATGGTCTAGATCTTTTGACCGTGTGATCCACCCGTCTTGACCTCCCAAAGAGCTGGGATCACAGGCGTGCCCCACCGCACTTGGCCTGGTGGTTGTTTTTTAAAATTATTTGCTCTGTGCTACAATACAATACCCTAAAAACCCTGGGTGAATGGTCTGCTTAGCAACATTTAGCAGGGCTGAGCCACTGTCACCAGCTATGGAAGCAACCTCCAGTTTGCCATAATCCCCCTCAACTCTTTTTGCCCCACATTGTCTTATTTGCTTTGTGTAGGCATATGAGCTTCTGAGCCCCATAGGTTGATGAGAGATAGCACTTAAAAAATATTGTCGCGAAGTGATTTTCAACCATCCCTTTTGGTTTTGGAACAGGATGAACAAATCTTACCCTATTTGAGCTCTGAATAATGACACATTATTTTGCTTGCAAGTAACATGCTTCCTCTCTCCTACATACATACCATTTACTAATGTTCAAGACACAAAATCCCATATTCTTTAAAGAATCTGTGAGGTTCATAGAAAATATCACATAATTTCAAAACTGGAACTTCATGTCATGTAGTTCATGTGCATCTTAAAAACTACTCAGTGAGAGTTCCTATAGGCATCATGATCGTCCACCATCACCCAGAGTGGTCTTCTAACTTCCACTTCCAGATTTCACTCACTGCATCCCTCTGCCTGTGTTTTTGGAGTTCTTCCATTCAATGTAGGATGGCAGTTTGGAATCACTGACAGCAAACACCACCATTGGCTGCTGCCACATTTAGGAGAAGGGACTGGAAAAGAAAATAATCCTTGCCATGCGCATGTGTTCAGCTCTGGTGGTAGATGGGAGAGTGCCAAGGACCATGGACAACACCCCAGGGTCCATGTGTACCGCTGCAGAAACCAGTGACCTCCTCCTTCTAGCACCTCTATGGAGGTGCATACTGGCAGCAGATTAATTGCCATCAATAAATTCCTCAGCTTGTGCTAACATTTTGCAGATAAGTGCCTGTGAAGCTAAATTTTGGCAGTAGTTTGCAAAAACACTGTGGCTTTTACTAAGAAGTAACTCACGCATGCATATTTCTGTGTACCTGCTGTTTGACAGTTGTGCAGAGGCGTATTGATCTTGCTGTTTTATGGATACTAGAAGGTGAGGGCCAGAAGAGATCTTCGAGACCATTTTATTTTCCAGAAACAAAACATAGGGGCATTAAAAGCCTACTTCAGGTTGTTGAGTTTAATTAGTGACAATATCCAGGTTTTCTACTGTCCATAGTTTAGTGCAAAGAGCAAATGGAGAAAGGGAAACTGAGGTGGCCTCTACAGGACCAGCTAGATGACCTTTGGGGAAGTTACTCTGCAGCTGTTTCACATAGTATCCTCATGTGAAAAATGAGGCAGTTCATTACCAGGTGATAGATAAAGTCCCTTCCAACTTAGAAATTCAGGGATTTAAAAAATCATTTGCTTTGTGCTACAATTATTTGCTTACCATAAATGGGATTTTGTATGTCTGATATAACTGATCACATGTACGGACAATTGTGCATTAGCCTGGCCATCAGCTTGCTTGTATTTTAAAATTTGTATTTGAAGGAAATGCTACTCTAGAAAGGTTTGTCTTGGTCTTGGTGAGCAATATGTGCTTTAACGAAAATCTTCAGCTGTGGTTGATTTTCAAGTATTCATTTCACTTCCACATTAAAATTTATTTTATTTTTCCCTGCCTACTCTACATTCTTTCTCTTGCTTCCATTGGCCAGTCCCAGCCTTGTAAGAATCTTTACCAAGGGTGCTCTATAGTCATAAACGGTTTCATTCATAAATGGTTTCCCAAAGCAAGCACTAGTATATAAGGTGAATTTGAGGACAGAGAAATGTGTAATCTGCAGTAATTTGGGGGAACTCAGTCACCAAAATGAACCTGTCATCAGAGTTGAGGGTGATCACAGACACATCAGCAAATGAATTAAGAACTAAAGGCAAAGGCTTTACAGCTCTTCTAACTGTGGCCAGGTCATTCCAAGCATCACTTGCCCCTGTATGTGGCCCCAAGTCCCAGAGGAAACAGGGCCCAGAGCCTCTCTTTAGGTGATGCTTCTGTGTACATCCTTCATTATCTGAGATATTGGCCAAAAGATTCTTTGCATGATTGGTGGGGGGGAGCATGTCTATTTCAATGGTAACGCCAAGACTTCCAGGATCTCTCTTCAAGCCTCTTTTTATTTTTGGCCCTACACAGTTGCACACTTGATGGCCACCTAGAAACCAAAGCAAGTGACATTGTGGCAACAGCTATGATTTTGATGGATTGTCTGTTTGTAGAAGTGCTTTTTTGGTGGTTTCAGAACACTGGTGGTTAAATAGCAGCATGAATGCTGAGAATATAACATTTAAGATTAGTTGTAAATTTTAATTTATAATTATGTGCTGTTTTATCACTTCAGGTTAGCAAGCTGCAATAGGAAAATGTAGAAAAGTGTTTTTGTGCAGGATTTTTTTCTTCTATTTAATGCACAAAAAAGTTATTTGACTAATTTTGCTTCCAATAAAATGGTCTATTAATGTAATAGAAATAGTTTTTAATGTGGGATTTGAACTGGTGTTTAAAAAACATATTAAACAAAAAGGGATTTTGTTCAAGATCTCCTGCAAATCCAGGTACTATGGGTATTAAGCACCCCATCTGCTGAGAGGGGTGAGGCAGTGAGGGAGATTCTGTCAGGCGGCCTGGAGCCCCACACCTAGAAAATGGCATTTGATGCCACCGTTGGTGGGCAAAACACCCGTTAGGAGGTTAAACTCTAAAATGATTGTATAGTTGTCACTTTTCTCCCAGATCAGGCTTTGGACAGTCAGTAAGGGTCTGACTTGCCAAACATTGCATCTCTTTAATCAAGTCTTTAGTTCCTTTGAACATAAGGACTCAGATTTTCAAAGGCCATGCCATCATTCTTCTCCAAACTCTTTAGAACTTGACATTTTTTTTAGTGGGGAATAAAAGAGGGATAGGGATGAAGTGGGAAGAGTATGGCCTGGTGTTTTTGGTTTCTTTGTTTTGAATCATAGGTTATTTAATACACTTTTGCTAAGACTTTTGTCAGCCTTTTTCATTTTGGTAAATATTTTAAGGGGGATAATGAATTTCACATCTTGAAATTTTATATATACTTAGCTTTAGTAAACTAGGAAGTTTGAAAATTTTTTTATATTTAAAATAAATTGAAATGGGGTCTCATGGCTAATGCCCTTTTCAGCCTTAGCTCACCTGCACCCAGGTGAATTAAAAAAAAAAAACATGAAATGGGGTCTCACTATGTTGCCCAGGCTAATCTCAAACTCCTGGGTTCAAGTGATCCACTCACCTTAGCCTCTCAAAAGTGCTGGGATTACAGGCGTGAGCCACTGAGCCCAGCCAAAAACTTTTAATTATTTAAAGTAAACTGGGCTTTTTCTTCATAAAATGACACATAAATTCTAACCAAGTGAGCTTATGGATGAATTTTTCAGGAAATAGTGATATGATTCTAGTGATAAAACATTAAACTTCTAAATAAATTTTTTCCATCATGCTTCTATAGATACATGTATATCTCTAGTTGTAATCTGATTAAGCAATCCAGAGTCTTTAAAAATACTGAAGTTTTGAAGCAGACATAAAATAGTTTTATAAAGCTACATAGCTTAAGCATTCTGTATTGCTCTGAATCACTAAGATATCCCAAAACTTTAAAATATCACAAATACTTGCTGCTTAAAAGCTGTGCTTTGTCATTTTCTGCTTAGAGATTTGATGTATTTGCTTAATTCTTTTTTCTTTTAATACATTTTTAAACCTTATTTCAGGAAGGGAAAATGAACAGAAATTAAATAACAAAACGTATTTAAGGAAAGCTTTGAAGAGTAACTCCTCCCTCACTAAGGGACTAAGAACAATGGTGGAGCAGAACTTGATGGAGAAACTGGAAACCTTGGGGATTAATGCAGTAAGTTCATTCAGTTTTGGAATATTTGTTAGATTTGCTCTATTTTGTTTTCTAAGTTAGAAATGATCAGAGAAGAGAAGAAAGCTCATCAATTCTGTCCATGTTTGGAGACCAAAGGCAAATGTGACCTACTTTATTTATCAAACACTTGGATTGCATTCACTGAGTGCCTGGCACACTTCTAAGACCTTAACAAATATTAACTCATTTAAACATAGAAACAAGTCTCTGAAATAAATGACATTATTATCTTGATAGTTTACAGAAAAGGTAAGTAACTTGATTAATGTCACACAGCTAGTAATGAAGGAGCCAGGGTTTGTATCTAGGCAGTCACAGTGCTACTTACATTCTGATGTTAACCTCAAATCACTGCCTATTACAAAATCAGTACATTAAGACATGTTGAATGAATGGATGGATTGTATTTTATATTGTTGCCAGATTGAATAATTTTGTTATATCATATAGACTTTTTGCTTTTTATATTTATTGACATACATAAAGACATAAATCTCAATTGAATAACTTCATTAGTTTATATGTATGTAAAAGTCCATTTACATATGAATATATACACATGTATGTATATGTGCAAAGCTTGTGAGCACATATGCATGCATGGGCACACACACGTGGATGTGTGCATGTAGATATGTATATATACATGTATGTATCCATGTGCGTATGCAGATACCTGTGTATGTATATACACATTTGTGTCTATAGATGTTTATGTGGTTTTCGGATGTATTTGTGTATGTGGCTATATTTGTAGGTATACGTTTGTATACTATTATGTATATATGTGGATTTGTATGTATATGTGTGTGTGTGTATGATCTATAACCAGCAACCAGATGATGAGATTGAAAACTTCCAACATTATAGAAGACCCTGTTTTATGTTCTCCTAGTCAATATCACCCCCTACTTCTCAATTGGAGGTAAAGGATATTCTGACCTAGTTTTGCTTGTTCTTGAACCTCATAAAAGTGGAGTCATACACTGTGTAATATTTTATATCTTACTTCTTTTGCTTATATTTTATCTATATGATTCATGCCTGTTGTTTCATGTCACAGTAGTATGTTCTTTGTTTATTGCTTTATAGCATTCTATTGTGTGATTACACTGCAGTTTACCTCTTCCCTGCAGATGGACATTTGTGTTTCTATTTTGGGGCTCTTTTTGGCTATTAATTCTTGTACATATCTTTTGGTGAACATGGGCATTTGTTTTTCTTGAATACATATCTAAGGATGAAATTACTGGGTCAAAGGGTAGTATATGTTTAGTAGAGTAGGTGCTGTCAAATAGTTTTCCAAGTCTTGGTACCAACTTATACTGTCCCTAACAGTGTTTGAGAGTTCAGTTGCTCCACATCTTTTATCAACTCAGTCAGTCTTTTAAATTTCCTTTTAATTTTACTTTTTAGGTGGGTTTTGACCACCCTTTGGCAGTAGAAATCAAAGACATTCATGGAATGTGTGGTTCCTGTGCATATTGTTTCTTGAAATTGTAGTTTTCCATGTTGGTTGTTTGCTAGTGGTTTTTGGGTTTTAATTTTCATTGGGACATTTTCTTTTATCCTAAGATTATTAAAACATTCCCTTGTTTTTTTTTCCTAATGCTTGGAGAGGTTTTCCTGTTTTCTTTGTTTGTTTTGTTTTGTCTTATTTTGTTTCTGTCTATGTGAGCTTTAAGAATTAGGTTTTAAAACAGTGATTTGGAGAGCTGACTTAATTTCCAGTTGGATCAGGTGTCCCAGTATAATCTGTTGAATAATCCATTCATTTAAAAGGATACTTTTGTCATATAGGAAATCCCTATATATATTTGGATTGGTTTTTAGACTTTCAAATGTTTTACCTTGTTTTTTTTTGTGTGTGTGTTCCTTTCACCACATCATACTAATTTAATTATTGTAGTGTTGTCCTGTATTTTGATATCTTGTATAGGCCATGCCTTCTTTATTGGTCTTCTTATTTCAAAAATGTATTGGTAGTTCTTCCATATTTTGTTTTCCAATGAACTTTAGGAATAACTTTTCAACTCCCAGAATAACCCTTATTGAAATTCTGATTGAAATTGCTTTAAATTATTAAGTAGGAAGGATTGACATTTGTACAGTATTAGATCTTACCCTCCAGCTACATGGTATAGGAAGACAGGCATGAGACAAATGATTGCACAGACAAATGGGAGATTTCTAATAGACTGAAATGAAATAAAGGAAAAGTAGAAGAGGGGCTTGACTGAATAATTGAGGTCAGAAAAAACTTCTTCTTGGAGGTGGTACTTTGTCTGATGATGGAGATTTCTGTCCTGGGCAACTAGGTGGGTGGTGGGGCTACTCCCTGTGACTGGGAAGGAAGGCTGAGGGAAGCAAGGGGGATGGGGACAAAGATGGTAGGTAGGTGTGTGTGTGAGTTGAAATATCCCTACAACTAGTTTTCTTCTGTCTAGATTCTCATCAAATCTAAGTGACATTTCTCAAATTGTCTCTTTAATTATGCTATTTTCATAGTTGAAAGTCACTTCTGATAACTTACTCTTCCTTGTAGAATAACCTTTCAGCCTTCTGGGCTGGCATGTAGTCTCTTCTGCTGGTTTCATCACCCAGGTCTTTGTAAGCATTAGCCTGGGGGACATGCCTTGCCTGTTTCTGCCTCGACACCTTCCTTTTTCACAGGTGTTCCTACCCCAAGCCTGCCCATCTGGAAATTTCTCCTTGTTTTAACTTGTTTGACTCCACCTGTCTTTCTGGCCACAGCTCAGCCTCCCCTTTCAGCCTTCTTTGGCCACTGGGGCCATTGATGGCCTCTCTCCCTGGAGTTCTTCTAGCCTTTGTAGACTCATTTGGTCCTTATGACACACATCCTTGTTGGTCAGCCAATCACAAACATGCACATGCCTCATGTGCCCCACTGAACTCATGGCCCCTTTGGGGCCAGGACAGTGTGTTACTTGTTGGGGAACCCTCACCCTCTACACATAGCTGGAGCCCTGTAAGGATGGATTGAAATGTTGGCACAGTTAATGCTGATATATGCCCATGAAATGAAACTTCCCAGGCTAATTGGCCAACTTAACATCTTATCCCTTCAGGATATACACAGTATTTCAAGTGATCAATTGCATAGAGCACTAAAAAGTGTGGAATCAGAAAGACATAAGCAAGAAAGAGAAATACCTAACTTTCATCAACTTCGAGAATTCCTTAAACATCAAGTCAGCTGTAAAATTGAGGAGAAAGCACTGCTGTCTTCAGGTAAGCTTGTTACTGATTGCAAATGGGAGCTTAACTGAACAACTTTTTCTTTTATTCTTTTTTCATCACAAGATATCACTAAACGAATTATTATAATTTTAAATGGTTAACAAACTTTGCCACTTCATTGGCAACTCTTACTATTTGTACTATTAAATGCTGGGTCTTGGATTTTGTTTGTACAGTAAAAACAAAACAAGGCAACAACCCTAGAGTCTGGCTTTAAACTCTAGAGATGGGATTGTTCGTTTCCATGGCAACATTGGGGGTATTATACCGTTTACCTTTGCTTTTCACTTGCTGAGCATAAAGGCAATGGAGACTCATGAATGACACTATATTCCAGATAAGTCCAATGTTTCTCAAATGGATACCCTTTCAATTGGAGAAGTACCCAAAATGATACAACTTCCTCCCAAAAACAGACAACTGGTTAGACAAAGAGCTGTTTCTACTGATAGGACATCTGTTTCAAAGTGAGTATTTCAGCCCTGAGATTTATTTTATCAATGTTTGTCTTAGCTCAGGCCGCTTTAACAAAATGGGTGGCTTAACAGAAATTTACTTTCTCCTCATTTTGGAGGCTGAAAGTCCAAGATTAGTATGCCAGTATAGTCAGACTCTGGTGAAGGCTGTCTTTCTGGCTTGCAGATGACTGCCTTCTTGCCATGCTTTCAGATGGTGGAGATACAGCGAGCTCTGGTCTCACTTCCTCTTCTTATAAGGCATCAGTCCCATCATGGGGACTCCATCCTCATGACTTCATCTAAGCTTAATCACCTCCCAAAGATCCCCCAGATACTATCATCCTGTGGGTCAGATCTGCAGCATATGAATTTGGAGAAGGGGTGGGGACAGATACATTAAGTCCATAACAGTGTTTGGTCCAACAGAGAATCACACTTATCATTCCTACCAGTCTCTTGTTGACACTGGGAGAGTTTTGTTGCTGCTCTCCCTCATTAATATGTGTTAAAAGCAAAAATCACCAGTTCCACAGAAATGTATGTTAAATTATATTAACTTATGCAATTTAGAAATATTTTATTGTTGTTTTTTAGAATTAAGAAAAATATCATGGAAGATCATTTTCCCAGAAAGTCTTCAACTATTACGTGAGTACTGACAGGGATAAGAGGGTCATTTAAAAAATACTTTTCACTGAACGTTCCTTTCATTTTAAAGTAGTATGCTCATTGTGGTTGACCGAAGCCCTAATTATTTAATATCATAATTTGTTATTCCTTTGTGATATGTTATTTGTGACATGTCTTTGTTTCTTTATTAGTTATTATGTAAGTCAATAGTCCTTAACCACATTGTGGACTCATTAAGAAAAAGGACACCTGAGTCATTCTTATAGCCACTCTCCCCACCCACAGTGTTGAGTAATTTCTCAATAAGCATATTTAAATTAAATGTCGAGTGTTGAGTTTTTATGGCTAGATCCATGACAGTGTAAATTTGTTTTAAATGTAATAATTTAGTGCCCTAGCTCTTTGTGGAATAATGACCCTAGTAAGGGTCATTATTAAGTTCTCTTAGGATACTAAAAACCCTAGCCCAGTTGCTCTGATTTAGTTGGCTGCTGTTTTAAGCCTGTTTTCTTATCTGTAATATGGGGTGTTCTAAGCCTCAATTTCCTTATCTGTAATGTGGAATAATGCTGCCTTTTTCATGGATAGTTCTTCAAATTAAATGAGAATTTATGAAGAGGGCTTGGCACTTATGGGCACTCAATAAATTGTAGGTATATTGCTACTAATTATGAGCAAAACTAATTTTATCATAAATAATAATCATTGCCTTATTCTGGAGATATTGATGACATAAATATCTCTTCATTGAGGCACTCTGTAGTAAAGACAATAAGCAATCATTCACCCTTCAAAAGCACTTTTCTTATACATCTCATGGGAAGAGCATTATTTCTTGGGATGTAGTGTGAATGAATCAACATGTGCAAGTCTGACATCTGGAATTTGGGTGCCCAATAAATATTATTTAAATGAACAAACACTGCTGTTAACTTCTATTTCACTTTAAAATGTGGGTGACAATTCGTGTGATGATACAAATGAGACTGTGTAAAAGCTTTTTACAATAAGATGCAGTATAAAAAAGCTGTAAGTCATGACACCATTTTAAAAGATGTAGTGTTTTTATTGAGGAATGTTTTTCTTTCAGAAATGTTTTTCTTAGGTGTGTGAAAACCAAAATTATGAAGAATATACACGTTTGGGTTTAGAGGAGACAGGCCCCAGCTTCAGCCCATTTTGATAAACATGCCCTGTGGCTGGCAGAGATCTGGGCGTGGGAGGACACCTCAGCCCTGGGTGTAACGTCTGGCCTCACAGCCATCTTGGCCATGGCCACAGAGGCACTTGTGTTCACCGGGAATTACCTGAGAAAATTGCCACCACTTTAAGAGGCCCATCTCTTAATGTCATAAATCCTAACGCGTTAAGGAAACAGCGCCGCTGTCTCGGTGTGTGTTGATTTGTGTAGGACCCCTCCCTTTAGTTCAGAGGAGGAGCAGGAGGACGACGACCTCATCCGGGCATACGCATCCCCAGGCCCACTTCCTGTGCCGCCATCGCAAAGCAAGGGCAGCTGCGGGAAGAACGCAGTCAAAAGTGACGCGGACGGGACCGAGGGAAGCGAAATCGAGGACACTGATGATTCTCTCAAGCCTGCAGGTGAGCTGTTACCTTGGAAAACTCTCTGGAAACTTTATCTAGGACAGTGGTCCTCACCCGGTGCACTGAGCATTGGGAGTCTGAGCTGGGAGGGTGTGCGAGTAATGGATGCAGTAGATGCCAAAGGCGCCCACGGAAAATGGGCAGGGCCTCGCAGCCCACCCACATTCCAGTTGAAAGAGAGGAGGGAGTTGGGGATGATACCTGCTGTATTAGTTCGCTAGGGCTGCTATAACAGTACCATAAACTGGGTGGCTTAAGGGACAGAACCTTATTGCCTCACAGTTCTGGAGGCTGGAAGTGCAAGATCAAGGTGTTGGCAGGGTTGGGTCCTGTGAGGGCTGCAAGGGAGGGTCTGTTCCGCATCTCTCTCCTTGGCTTGCCTTCTCCCTATGCATCCTCACATCATCTTCCCTCTGCGTGCATCTCTGTCCAGATGTCCCGTTTGTGTAAGGACATTGGATTAGGGCCCACCCTGATGAGCTCACTTTATCTTGATCTCCTTTGCAAAGACCCTGCCTCCAAATAAGGTCACATTCTAAGGTATGGGAGTTAGGACTTCAACATATGAATTTAGAGGGACACAATTCAACCCAGGGCACTGGGTGACTATGGGAATGGCTGGTCTAATACACTGTGCTGCCTCTTGGAGCTCGAATAATACTAAAGGAAGACAGGATCTTAGTTTGTCACTGCAGATGTTTACTGAAGAGAAGTAGAACTGATGGGTCATTATTTTTTTTTTAATTCTGCCTAATGCAATTTTTAAATTATGTATTTTAAACATAAATGTAATGTTTAATATATTGTTAGATATAATTTATTGTGTACAGTGTGTATATGCCATGTATTTAGATAATTAGATAAATATAACTAATTCATTTAAAAAGAATCCATATTGTTTTTGAAAATACCCATATGAATATTCCACTCATGCATGTTATCTCACTGGAATTAATTTCTCACCACATACTTGAATGAGATCATCTTTCTTTGATTTAAAATGAAAACTTTACAGCCACTCTAACCTGTAATCCCAGCACTTTGAAAGGCCGAGGCAGGAGGATTGCTTGAGCTCACTAAGACCAGCCTAGGCAACATAGCAAGACTCTGTCTCTATTTTTTTTAATTAAATAAAATGAAAACTTTATAGCTCATAGTCTCAAGGATTATGATTTTTTAAGGATTGTGTTGAATTTTTTAACCCCAAAGTACATCAACTGATTTTATTTTAATAATGCATAATTATTTGCAAAGCTTAGACTCTTTCAAAGTTTCCTATAAGGTTATTTTGGAACTGAAGATAGATGAAATTTTTAAATATTTCACTTGACTGATTTCTATTGATCTTATAGGAGCCTCCATTAAAACACCAACTGAAAAAGTTGAAAAGATGTTTTCACATCACAAAAATGTGAATAAACCAGTTGGTGGAACTAATGTTCCTGAGATGTTTATCAAAAAAGAAGAATTACAAGAACTAAAGGTGAAATCACTTTTACTTGCTAAATATACATAAATTTGTCTTTTGACAAATAACACCTTAATAATCACACTTCTTGTGGTGAAATATAAAACTGATATTTAGCTGATATAGCAGAGGTTGAGATTTTCACCTTTCTTGTTCTCAGTATTGCATTTCTTTCCATTCCCTAGAGAGTCAAAGATAATGGTAATAATACACAATAAGTATCACATTTTACAGGTTTTCAAAATCTTGTCACACGTATTATTTGATACTTTGCAGATATCAAATGGTTTCTACAAAGAAACTTGTGACTGGCCAGAATCTTGGGGGCCTTCAGATCTTCTTCACTACCCTAGCATGAGACCTTAGGAACTTTTTAGGGTTTAGTCCCATTTGGGAGCTGAAGTGAGAGCTGAGCCCACGCTCCTCTGTCTGCATTAGAGAAGAAGTCCAAACATTTTCCCAGCTGTTCTAACGGCCAGAAGTATTTCTGTGGATGGAGCTCTCCCATTGTATTTCTGGGCACAGCTCATGTGTGTTGACTGGTCTTCCAGTCCAGGGCATTTTGTCAAATTACTTTTCTTAGTTAATACTGTGTGTGTTACACAAGCCAAAAACGACAGAACGTCCGGTGTCATTCAAGAGAGCGCCAATGCATCTTTCTTTAGGAAGGGTATGGTAGAACTGTGTGCTCCTTTTGATTGGAGGCTATTTCTGCAGGCCTTGGTGTGATGCACCCACAGTTAGATGTCATTATTATCATAGGTAAAAACCGAGAGCAGGCCTCACTCCTACTCCAGAGTACCCTGACTTTTAGAGTTTCATACCCCTACAGTGTACTTCTGGAATTTTCTACATTCATGATTAGTAAAGTAGGAAACACATATTTCCATGGCAGAAACGAAGAGATGATTCAGATTTCAAAATACCAACTTCCAAATCCATTTCATTGCCCTGCAGAAATGACTAGCTTTGGAAGTATTAATCATTCCCCACTTCTTATGGTTCAGTGTTAGCTGCTCAGTCTAACCAACAAAATAATTGAGGGGCACCGTTTTTTAAAGAAACATTAATTATTCTCCATGCCTTTCTTTTAGTGTGCAGATGTGGAGGATGAAGACTGGGACATATCATCCCTAGAGGAAGAGATATCTTTGGGGAAAAAATCTGGGAAAGAACAGAAGGAACTTCCGCCTGTGAAAAATGAACCACATTTTCCTCATGTGCTAAATGCCTGGGGCGCATTTAATCCTAAGGGGCCAAAAGGAGAAGGTTCGCTGCTTTCTCCTCTAACACAAGCTCAGTCCCTTTTCTTATTAGTTGTGCCTCATCTTTATAAATATCTGATTAACTTAGGCTAGCATATCATCAGACAAAAAGAAAGCTGTCAATGCTTTATGTTATTTAAGTAAGGACTGGATATGTATAACTTACTGATTCATATATATTTACTTATTTTTATTTAATTGTAGGACTAATCTTTACATTATGTAATGTAATGTAGTCTTTACATTAAAAAAAAATTTTATTTTTATTTTGAAACAGGATCTTACTGTCACCCAGGCTGGAGTACAGTGGTGCAGTCATGGCTCACTGCAGCCTTAACCTTCCAGGCTCAAGCAGCCCTCCCCGACCTCAGCCTCCGGAATAGCTGGAACTACACGTACATGCTATCATGCTCAGCCAATTTTTTTATTTTGATTTTTGTAGAGACAGGGTCTCACTAGGATGCCCTGGCTTAAACTCTTGGACTTAAGCAGTCCTCCCACTTTGGCCTTCCAGAGTACTGGGATTACAGGCATGGGCTACCACTCCTAGCCCCCAGATTGTTTGTATTCTTTAGGTTTTCTTTTTTCTTTTTTTAGGATATGGGGGTCTCACTATGTTGCCCAGGCTGGATTCAAACTCCTGGGCTCAATCAATCCTTGTGCCTCAGCCTCTTGAGTAGCTGAGACTACAGAAGTATACCACCATGCCTGGCTTTATTATTATTTTTGAAAATGTCCATATACATATTCTCTTCATGAAGATGCCTTTTAGGAATTAAAATTTCTGATCATATACCTGAATGAGACCATTCTTCTGGCAAGTGTTTCTGTATTAGTCTGTTTCCCTATTAAATATTTTTCTTCATTTTCTTCCAAGGGAGGTTTTTCTTAATAGCATTGTAGTCAGTGGGATGAAATACTATGAGATGAGATGACTTGAAATGATTTTCATATCCCCCAATTTAGAGCCTAGATAAGCTCAGTAACTCAAGATTTTTTAAAATTAGAAATGTGTAATTTTTTGTCAAAGTAATTCTTGCACACATTGAAAGCTGAGTTGTTCAGAAGGCTTCTCTATGCCATCTCACCACCTTCAGTGGTGGTACCTCTGTGCCTCTCAGTAATAGCCTTTAACCACTCTTTCTTGATCCATTGACTTTAGATATTAACTGTTGATGGCCTGCAAAGACAGATGGGGACTTGGCTCATTTTTACCACCCACTACACCTCTCATGCCTTCTTCATTGTTTTTGTATTCCTACTTATAATTTTATTAACTTTTTTTTTGTAAAGATGGGGTCTCAATAGGTTGCCCAGGCTGATCTCAAACTCCTGGTCTCAAATTATCCTCCCACCCCAGCCTCCCAAACTGTTGGGATTACAGGTGTGAGCTACTGCACCCAGCCTGTAATTCTAAATTAATACCTGCACATCTCCACCCTTGCTCTTTACATTTGCAGCAGCCTCTTGCCCCTTTGTAGCAGCCTCTTGCCCCTTTGTAAGATACGCTGTTGCTGCTTCTGTCCTTCACACTACCTTTGCTCTCACATTGTCCAGTGATAACATAGCTGTTGCATAATTTGCGTCGGTTATCTGTGCTGTCTGAGTCAACTCTAATTATTGAAAAGCAGGAGACTCTGTTTGCATTACAGTGACTCTTTACATGGCCAAGAGGATACCCTAAGGACATCTCCTGTCTCTTTCCTCCAACACTATAAATCTGTGCCCCTGGAGAGACATATTTCTAGAGTCAAACTTGGGTAGAATTCTCTGCACTCTATTTCAGTGGCTCAGAATCATGCCACTAAAATTGACTTCATTGTTAAGGCTACCTTAGAAAATATGTTTTTAACCCCTAATCTCTATTTGGCTTGTTAATTTCATCCTTCTTTATTTACCATCTATTCACTCAGAGTCAGTAACTACAACACAAACGTACTGAGCACCTTCAACACCCAGGCCCTGAGCTGAATGCTGGGGAAGGAGTGGGAAGCAGGATGTGGCCCCTGCTGCCCTGTAGGCTGCAGGGTGGAAGCTTGCATCTAAGGGTCCTGTGAGTGTATCCTAGAGATGTGACTAATTCATGCTTGGATTTTAGAGTGGCCTCATACAAGCTCATGGGGGTTGGGAGATGAGGATTCATGAACAGATTTAGACACTGAGTGATTGACAATATGAAATTACAGATTTGAACAGACTTCACAATGTGCCTGTTTAACAGTTGAGGCCTTCTCTTTCTTCTCTTGCCTGTCCCCACCACTTACAGGACTTCAAGATAATGAATCCAGCACATTAAAAAGCAGCTTAGTAACCGTGACTGATTGGAGCGACACTTCAGATGTCTAATTCCACATGTCAGAAGATTCTTCCAGAAGCCAGCAGTATTTCAGTATGACAGTGTTTCAGTAACTTGCCTCCATGACTCCAGTGCTTCCGCCCTGTCGTGTCCCCCACAGCAACACAGGGTCTGATGCAAAGAACAACCATCTCTTTAATGTCACCTGATACAGTATTGAAAATCAGATCCTCAACAGTGTTTTGAAGCACCTATAGGTGTTTAAGACTTCTGCTGCTTAAAAATAACATGTCATTGAAGTCATAAAAAGTTTTTTCTTTAGAACGGTACTCTAGTGTTAAGTGTATTTTTTTCCAACTATTTTTTAAGTGATTTTTTTTAAGGTTACAGCAGGTTTTGGTTTGAATTACTAAAACTTTAAAAAATATTTTTCTTATGTATGCTGTCGCATTGCAGGTGTTTATATTATAAAATTCTGTTAGTAGTCTAAACACTAAAATTTTAGTTTAGTCCACTAAAATTGAATTATGGGAACCACTAATCACTACAAGTTAGTCTGGTTATTTTTCATATAGAAGTAAGCTTAATCCGGGCGTGATGGTGTTCACCTTTAATCCCAGCGACTGGGGAGGCTGAGGTGAGAGGATCGCTTGAGCCCAGGATCCAGCCCAAGACCAGCATGGGCAATAGCAAAACTCCACCCTCCCACCCCCCAAAAAAGTAAGTTTAGAATTAGAATATAGCTAGGGCTATATTAAATACATTTTCCTGAAGTACATTTATCACATTCGGCTTTGAGCTACTGTAAGCATGTTACTATTAAATGGTTGGTTATTTTATATAGCATATTCTTTATCTTGGATATTTTCTGAATAAAGAGTAGTTAAGTGCCAATTAATTTATCAGACTAAATAGAAAATATTTGAGTCATTACTGAACTCATATATGTATTTTTTTTTACTTTTTAAAATACCCAACATGTATTATAAAATACCTCAAAAGTAATTTAGTTATATTCTTAAACAATGACATTGTCAAAAGTCAGAAAGTTCATATAAACTGTTTTTTGCATTTCTATAACTTGGTGGTACTATATTCTCTTTGCAAGAAAAAGTAACCTTTTAACAAAAAGATCTGTTGGGTTTTAGATCTCTTTTCGTTTGTCAGCCTTTTCAGTAAAGCCCTCCATTACATCATTGTGACTGTGGCTGTGTTATTAGAGATGAATTCTGAGTTAAATTTATACTTATTAGGGGTCTTACAGAGGGAGAATCTGGCCTTGATAGCTATGCCATATGACATCCTGTCCTAATGGTTAGGACAAATCTTCTTCTGTTTCCACCCACCCTGGGGCCCTATCTACTTGTAGCCCATTCCTGCCTTCTAAAAAAATCCTTCTGACTTCCTACAGAGGCCATTTCATGCAGATATACTCAATTTATATGTATGTTTCTAGAAGCTTTAGTGAAGGCTGAATCAAAGTTTCATGTAGTAGGACAGAGAACAGCAATCTACAAAAATACACCACACCCAAGATGGCCCATGTGTCACTTTGTTCATTCAGTTATTTATTCAACAGATATTTACTGAACCACTTGGTCTGGTTTGGTTTTGAACATTCACTAATTCATTTAATTACAATTTTGCAATCTAGTTATTGTTATAATCCTCATCCTAAAGACATGAGAAACTGAGAGTTATTAAATAACTTCCTAGAAGCCATACAAGTACAAAGTGACAAGGGCAGGCATTAAGCCAGGTCTCGATTCCATGTTTTGTGTCTGCCATGTCTACATTCCTGAGCAGAAGGGCTTGGGGAAATGAACTTTTGCTGAATAAACCCAGTATTTAAATTAAGTCACTACATCTGTGTCTTAAAAGCCCTTCCTTTAACTTACTGGTTAGTTGTAACTTTTTTTTTTTTTGAGACAAGAGTCTCACTCTGTTGCCCAGGCTGGAGTGTGATGGTGCAATCTTGGCTCACTGCAACCTCTGCCTCCCAGGTTCAAGCGATTCTCCTGCCTCAGCCTCCCGAGTAGCTGGGATTACAGGCACACACCACCATGCCTGACTAATTTTTTGTATTTTTAGTAGAGATGGGGTTTCACTATGTTGGCCAGGCTGGTCACGGACCCCCCATTTCAAATTATCCGTCTGCCTTGGCCTCCCAAAGTGCTGGGATTACAGGCGTGAGCCACTGTGCCCGGCTGTATCTTGATATTTGTATAAAATTTGGTTTGTTCACTTTTGGGGAGAACTATTCCTTTATGTTGCCCCTTACTGATGCCCAGCTAATGTGTTTCTGGTTATTATCAGATCTTCATCCCCCATCCTCCCTAAATTCTTCAGTATAATCTAAGCATTATCTTCATCAGCTCAATTTTGAATAACAAATTTGTTTGAAATGCACACCCACAACCCTGACCCACACTGGCCTGTAGGACCTTTACGTCTTTCAGTTAATTTGTATTTCTGCAAAAGCTATTTTAAAGGATTATCAAGGTTTAGAATTTAAAAATTTTTTAACACACTTGTTCATTTCCTTTTCTTTCCACTGAGCATCTCTGAACAATATGATTTTCCTTTTAAGTCTTTCACACTTCAGAAAAATACATTTACTCATGTTGTGATTCATATCAGACAGTTTCTTACTCAAAGAAACACAGATACCAATTCTTATTCATACTTCGAAACTGTATTTTACCCTAGTCTACCTCGGTTCAAAGGCCTAGTTTTGACATTACTGTGGCAAATTACTTAAGTGCTCTGCTTTCATTTTCTTCTCTGTAAATGTGGGATGAAGACAGCATGCATCTCCTAGGATGCCTGTGAAGAGTGAGTGAGACAGGACATGAAAGGTGTGTATTAACGGTGATAACTGTTGCCCTTGGGAGCATGTTATATAGGGCTGGCTCTAGGAAGAAACCTGTGTCTTTTCTCAGAAATCCCTGGAGCAACTTAAATGTCTTTAGAAGTGACAAGTCTCTCAATTATACCCAGTTAGTTCCATAAACAGGTTCTGGAAGACACACTAGAACTCAGCCCATCAGTTTTGAGTGAGGCACGTACCTCGTGGGCTTGGGGTGTCATTAGCCCATTTATGCCTGAGGTTGCAATGTTTTGAAAAATATATATATATATTCTTGAGACCAAGTCTTGCTCTGTTGTCAGGCTGGAGTGCAGTGGCACGATCTCACCTCACTGCAACTTCCACCTCCCAGGTTCAAACAATTTTCTTGCCTTAGCCTCCCAAGTAGGTGGGATTACAGGTGCATGCCACCACGCTTGGCTCATTTTTGTATTTTCAGTAGAGACGGGGTTTCACCATGTTGGCCAGGATGATCTCGATCTCTTGACCTCATGATCCATCCGCCTCGGCATCCCAGCGTGCTGGGATTACAAGTATAAGCCAAAGAGCCTGGCCAATTTTTTAAATTTTTCCAATCACACCTTGGCAATGACCTTGAGCAGTAGGATATAAATAACTCCCACATGCT